TAATTTACTTTACAAAATGTACTGCCAGACGTGGACTATACGGTTAAGGGTTTTGCAAACCTAGGTACGTGTCCACGTCTGGAAGAAAAAAAAAAGGTTAGTGGGAGGTTTCCGTGGTCTTCCTCTCCATGTAACTCAAATGCGGGTTAGTTCCATCAAAAAGTCCTCCACGAAGGCAAATTTCTCCCAATACTTGATCCAGAAGTCTTCTGGATGGGGTTCAAAATTACAAGGCTACGTAGTTGAACATTAGAAGTCATAAACCCAAAAATTGGGTCGGTTGTTCAACAACGGTTATAAAATAATATAAAACCACAGATCTGGAAATTAGTTGTTTTAAAATCTAGAAACACCTTTCTTCATAGCAACTTTGAGTACGCTTCAACTGTTATCTATAATTTAATAAATCTTTTTCCAATCATATGTGATTTACCAGCTTGAACGAATCCTGTTACTTAACAGGAATGACGTTCTTGTCATATATATTCATTATTCATAATAGTTTTTCTCATATTTGTGTCTTACATATCGCAAAGAAGTCCTGTGTCTCGGAACCCCTGTGCCTCTCCCACGGGAACTTTAGGGTTCCGCAGAACACCATTTGGGGACCGCTGTTGTAGGAACATCGCATACCCTTGTGAGACAGTAAAATAGATCCAGTATTTTTTATTTTAATTGGCTGAAATGAAACAGATAAACTAAGAAGTCTTTCTTGTTGACTGAAATGTAACCAAAGAATAAATCTTACGATGTCTTTATGGAGCGAATGGGAGAATTGTATATTCTATTCGTCCATTAGTTAATTTGTGACAGGGAAAAATCTTCAATGTCCACATAATTTGTGAAAGTACATTTAAAAAATACAATTAGAAGCCTAGTTATTATTTTATTAGGTACAGTTATTATAAGAAAACGAAACAATTTGAATATTCAGAAATAGAAAAATCATACAATTAACACACTCACTATACTCATTCCCTGTTCCTTTTAACCATGGCTATAACAGATCAAAAGTATCTGTTATTTAATATATAACCATCTCTACTTCATAGATAAAAGTGTGATTATAGTGTTTTAGTACTTACCATTTTGAAACATTGTTTTTCTGTTTTAGTGAACGATATAGTTACTGGTAAGTACTTTAGTATATTTTATGTATTTTCAAACTTAGGGAAAACTGAAAACGTTTTCAATCTGACTAAGCAAAAATTTTGTTCTTGATAACAATTCTCGGTAAATTAGAAATTTCCAATTTGTCGAATAACCGTTTAGGTACTCCATCAACTTAACTATTTGTAAAAAATTTATTATTGAAAAAAAAACGTATGTGATTTTATTTGGGATCAGGATTAATTTAACTGCTTAGCAAGCGTCTTACAATTCAAGCGTGTATGAATTACAAGACCTATACAAAGTCTGCGGAATTCTTTAAAAGGACGCTTTACCGTGGGGAGAAATTTTTCATTGCATATTCTCTTTCACCTATACAGGTAATTTGAAATTTAAATTATAGAGAAACTAAGTTCAGGTAATCCTAAAGAAAATTGTAAAGTTTCAAATGCTAATTTTTTTAAAAATATCAAAATACAAAATAAATCATATGAGGTGAACTCAGAATTACGCTTTGGGGAAGTTATCTTGTAATAAGTAATTTACTCTAATTCTTTTTCGTTAAACTTTAAATTTTGAAATAGTAAACAAAATTTGTTATTTAAAGTTTTTCCTACGGTATAGCGTCTTGTTAAGATACGATACTTTATTTTTTAAAATCGAATATATAAAAATACTCATCAAACGTAATTACAACTATTTAGATTCAAATACGCGTTATTGGTTTAATAAATTATTTATTATTAGATTTCACTTGCTAGTTTGAAAAAAAAAACAATTAAATAACTCCACCTAGATAAATTTTATCTTATTGGTCAAAAACAAATGAACAAATAACATTAAGTGAAACTGTGTATTTACATAACACTGTCTAAAATAATGCATAAAAAGAGTAAATATTAATTTATTGTTATTTCAAACTGGTTGCTGTAATGATTGCTTGCATACAAATTATTTCAAACTCCTTTGCCACAGTATATTCTAAAATAGGAACTAATTTTCAAAATTTTGTACCTGATTTTAAGAGTCTTTCAAATAAACAGAAACATGTCACAGAATTTGAAGTTTCTATTGACTTCCTTTTCGCAAGTTTGAAGAATATTTTAGTCGTGCAAAAAAATTCATGATACTCCTAACCCTTTGATGCAGATGGGACACTGGTGTCACTTTTATAAATGTTTATTTCTGGCACTTTAATTACAATCAAAAATATATTTCTTGAGTTTTGAACTATAGCAAACAGTCTAATAGTTACTATAAAAATATGTTGGATTATCGGAATTATATTTGACTAAAATATGGAGCATGCATGCTACTTCTAAGCCTTTGACGCAGATGGGACACTGGTGTCCCTTTTATAAATGTTTATTTCTGGCACTTTAATTACAATCAAAAATATATTTCTTGANCACCTATACAGGTAATTTGAAATTTAAATTATAGAGAAACTAAGTTCAGGTAATCCTAAAGAAAATTGTAAAGTTTCAAATGCTAATTTTTTTAAAAATATCAAAATACAAAATAAATTATATGAGGTGAACTCAGAATTACGCTTTGGGGAAGTCATCTTGTAATAAGTAATTTACTCTAATTCTTTTTCGTTAAACTTTAAATTTTGAAATAGTAAACAAAATTTGTTATTTAAGGATTTTCCTTCGGTATAGCGTCTTGTTAAGATACGCTTTTTTATTTTTTAAAATCGAAGTTATAAAAATACATATCAAGCGCAATTACAAATATTTAGATTCAAATACGTGTTAATGGTTTTAAGAAAGTCTTATTTTTAGATTACACTTGCTAGTTTGAAAAAAAAACGATTAAATAACTCCATCTAGATAAATTTATTCTTATTGGCTAAAAACAAATAAGCAAATAACATTAAGTGAAACAGTGTACTTACATAACACTGTCTAAAATAATGCATAAAAAGAGTAAATATTAATTTACTGTTATTTCAAACTGTCTGGGATAATTGCAATGATTGCTTGTATACAAATTGCTTCAAACTACTTTGCTACAGTATATTCTAAAATAGGAACTAATTTTAAAAATTTTGTACCAGATTTTAAGAGTCTTTCAAATAAACAGAAACATATCACAGAATTTGAAATTTTTATTGACTTCCTTTTCGCAAGTTTGAAAAATATTTTAGTCGTGCAAAAAAATACATGATACTCCTAACCCTTTGACGCAGATGGGACACCGGTGTCCCTTTTATAAATGTTTATTTCTGGCACTTTAATTAATCAAAAATATTTTTCTTCATTTTTGAACTATAGCAAACAGTCTAATAGTTACTAAAAAAATCTGTTATATTATCGGAATTATATTTGTACTAAAATATGGAGCATGCATGCTAGTTCTAGGCCTTTGACGTAGATGGGACACTGGTGTCCCTTTTATAAATTTTTATTTCTGGCACTTTAATTACAATCAAAAATATATTTCCTCGTTTTTGAACTATAGCAAATAGTCTAATAGTTACTAAAAAACCTGTTAGATTATCGGAATTATATTTGCAAGAAAATATGAAAAATGCATGCTACTTCTAAGCCCTTGACGCAGATGGGACACCGGTGTCACTTTTATAAATTTTTATTACTGGCACTTTAATTACAATTCAGAATATATCTCTTCATCTTTGAAGTATAGCAAACAGTCTAATAGTTACTAAAAAAAATCTGATGGATAATCGGAATTATATTTGCACTAAAATATAAAAATGTATTCTACTTCTAATCCTTTAAAACAGATGGGACATCAGTGTCCCTTTTATAAATTTTTATTTCTGGCATTTTAATTACAATCAAAAATATATTTCTGCATTTCTTAACTATAGCAAACTGTCTAATGGTTACTAAAAAACGTGTTAGATTATCAGAATTATATTTGTACTGAAATATAAAAAAAAGACATGCTACTCCTAACCCTTTAAAGCAGATGGGACATCGATGTCCCTTTCAGAAATTTTTATTTCTGGCACTTTAATCACAATTGAAAGAATATTTTTGCATTTTGTAACTATAGCAAACAGTCTAAGAGTTACTAAAAAGTTTGTTAGATTATCGGAATTATATTTGTACTAAAATATGAAAAAGGCATGAACCTTTTAAAGCAGACAGGATACAGGTGTCTTTCGTATATATTTTTTTTCTGCTGCTCCAATTAAAATCAAAAATATATTTTGTCATTTTTTAACTATAACAAACAGTCTTATATTTACTAAATTTTGTCAGAATCTGTGTCAAAGGGGAATTAAATTCAACGTCAAATAATGAGTATTAATTTATGATCAGTTATTAAGAAGGAATTTATGGGAATTATGGTAATGAAATTATTTAAATAATGGGATTTTAAGGAAGAAGAAGTAACTGTTAATAATTTGCACGTATATGAGCGAAAGTGAAGGAAAATAAAAGATATTGATTTCATTAAATAAAAGTAAATTAATAGATGAAAATTGAAATGAAATAATCAATGTAAATGAATTTATTTATTTATTCATTTAAATAATCTTGTGATCTTGTTATTATATAAAATGCTACCTATATTGTTGCAGAGGCTACTAGGGGAAGTAAGTGAAAAATTATTATTTTATATATTATATTGCAAAATAATATATATTTTCATATTATAATAATGATATGTATATTGATAATATATTGATAATAAACTATTTTGCATTAAAGTTAAATCATTAATGTATTAATTAAAAATAAATAAAAACAAATTGCGAAAAATAAAAAAATTTAATTTTGAAAAAAAAAACATGGCGTAAAATTTTAAAACACATAAAAAACTGATGATTTATTTTTAAATTTTTTTAATGAAACTCGTCATTTTAATTGGAAAAAGTTTTTTTTTAAAAAATTCACTTTTAAATTGACAAACATATATTTACGATTTGGCAAATATATTAAATATCAAATTCCTTATTTCTTCAAATATCTATAATGTTTTATTTTAAAAAAATAAGTAATGATTGGAAACAATGATTTTAACACATCTCTTCTATCAAGTTCAGAACTCCTAGTAGTTCGCCCAAAATATGTATACAGAGTTTTCGAAATTTCGATTGATAAAGACATCAGAGATGTGATAAGGACATCAAAAGAATGAAAACTTACCATAGAACATGAAACAGCCTACTACGTTGAAAGGATGAAAATGGCGAAAAACACATGCAGGATCTGAATTTATAGAAGAGAAGTGAGGTCAATTGTTTATTTTACCTAAATTGATCGCTTGTATGCTATTTATCTTAAACAGCTGTGGGTTTTCCCCCTAGAGGCTTCATCCCCCCTTATGAAGCATATCTAAAGAAGTGGCTTAAACGTGTTGAACCAATATTCCATGGCCATAGGCCATATCTCTGTCCGTGTGACTTTGTCTTTTGGAGTCACTTCAAATAACACACCGGAATATTTTATAGCTTGGTTTGCCTTTTGCGGACAAACTAGGCATACGGGAATCATTTTTATGTCGTTGTTCATCGTGTAATAACGTCAACGGGTGCAACTTCGATCAATTTTATAGATAACATTGGGATACAAATGTCTCATTGTGTTTATAGGAATGCTTGATATTGCCTAAATTCGGGTATGGATATTTCAAATCTGAAATAAGTTTTGCCCTGAAACTGCAGATATTTCTAAATAATATTTTTATCGATATTTTGCAAAAATAGACAAGTTTAAGAGCGCTACATGTAACAGGAGGTCACGTAAATGTTGCGACAAACTTCTAGGAAAGTTAGAATTGATCATCAGAATTGAAATTGAATGGGAACCCATGTCTGGAAAAATGTCATCGTGAGCGATTAGGTACACTTCCCTATTATGACCTGCTCAAAAAACGATGCAGAATGTGCAACGATGCAGAATGTGGGGAGAGTAAATATCGACAATATCAACCTACATCCATGAAAAGGTACCCCATCATAGATTCGAGTTAACTTGTCTTATATACTAGTGAATTGGTATAAAATTTTTGTAGTGGTAGATACTCTACAGTACTCCCCCACCAGAATTTTAACTATGATAGAATTCGATGAACGGATACCACTAGTTGATACATTGCTGTTTTGTGAGAAGCCGGGAGAGCTGTATTAAGATAACCGGACTTTTCAAATGCTGATCGTGAGAGCTGTATTAAGTTAATGGTCGTGGTCGCTAATGTGTTGCCTTTAGCAGTCGAGTGTATACGTAACACGTTATGTGTGATCGAAACTGAGTAGCAACAGTGCGAGGAGGTGGATAATGTCGCAGTCACAAGTGGCAAATCAACTGTTCAGAGTGAACCATCCATCGAAGTAGGCGTGTTCAAATCGTAGTGGGCGTTTCTGTCAAGGTAGGCGTGTTCACATCACGTCCGGGTCACTAATGTAGGGATAGTAGATATCGACAATGTCAACCTTCATCTATGAAAAGGTACGTACCCCATCATAGATTCGAGTTAGCTTGTCTTATATACTAGTGAATTGGTATAATATTTTTGTAGTGGTAGATACTCTATCTAAAATCTGTTAAAAGTAATTTTAAACAACAGAAAAAATTGTTTCCCAGTGTAATTTATCAAACTAGACTTTTAAGAGTTAGCAAGCTTATAGCATTTTTTGTAGTTGTTATCTAGCATGATGTCTAGATTTGAGTGGGTTTTCCGAGATTTTCTCTCTCTCAGCCAGATTTGTTGTCTGACGTTTTATGGTAAGTTTTCCCGCCACTAGATATCTTTTATCGTCCCTCTGAATTTGTCGGTCGAATTTTTAAATACCCACAATAAATGGTATTATATTTAAAAGTAATGATAATCAATATAAAACTATATAGTTTTTTTACTTCAAAGTTTTTATGTCCATTGTCTACACAGAGTGTGGGCATAAGGCATTTTAATATCAGTTGTTACAAAATCTGAGAACAACATAGTTTTAAGGCAATGTTTTTTTTATCTATTTAATTTCTTTTTCAGTTCGCAGAACCATTAATGGTAAGTAACACTTTTATAAGGAATAGTTCTCATTCAGCTGCATGGGTTTTACATTAATAATATGCATTAATTGATGTGTTAAAGAGTGATTAAAAGCTTTGAAATGCGTCAACATTCAATGTGTTTACATAGTTTGAGAGCATACTCTGTGCCCCGTTTTCAAAACTTTGGCCGTTTGCTTAAGCAATTTTAAGAACTTTCATTTAAAACAGTAATCTATACACTTTAGGTATAATAAAGTCATATTTAAGAGAAGTGAAACACGTTTCCAGTGTTAAATGAATCACTTTTGAAGTGGGAAAAAGCAAAGAGGAGATTAAAATCATCAAAAATTTAGGTGTACTACAATGCCGTTGCCTTTAATTTTAAGATTCATTCTCAATTAAAACGTTTTCAAACTCAAACCAATTCTTGTTGAGGTAAGGAAGAGCGAAGGAGAGATTGAAATCATCAAAGGCCTAGTTGTACTGGAATGCCATCGCTTTTTGCTGTAAACTGATTATAAGTTTCATTCTCAATTAAAACGTTTCCAAACTCAAACCAATTCTTGTTGAGGTAAGGAAGAGCAAAGGAGAGATTGAAATCATCCAAGGTCTAGTTGTACTGGAATGCCATCGCTTTTTGCGGGAAACTGATTATAAGTTTCATTCTCAATCAAAACGTTTCCAAACTCAAGCTAATTCTTGTTGAGGTAAGGAAGAGCGAAGGAGAGATTGAAATCATCAAAGGCCTAGTTGTACTGGAATGCCATCGCTTTTTGCGGGAAACTGANAGTGAACTAGCCCTTCTATTCTCTTTAGCCCTGAGTTGTACTGGAATGCCATCGCTTTTTGCGGGAAACTGATTATAAGTTTCATTCTCAATCAAAACGTTTCCAAACTCAAACCAATTCTTGTTGAGCTAAGGAAGAGCGAAGGAGAGATTGAAATCATCAATGGTCTAGTTGTACTGGAATGCCATCGCTTTTTGCGGGAAACTGATTATAAGTTTCATTCTCAATTAAAACGTTTCCAAACTCAAACCAATTCTTGTTGAGGTAAGGAAGAGTGAAGGAGAGATTTAAATCATCAAAGGCCTAGTTGTACTGGCATGCACTCATCTTGCACTAGAAACATCTGTTAAGCTTTATTCTGAATCAAAATATTTATTAATATGAGGAAGAGCAAAGTGAGGATTAAAATCATCAAAGATCTTGTTGTACTGGAATGCCATCGGTTTTCGCCTAATTTTCAACTAAAACGTTGCCAAACTCAAACCAATCCTATAGCACAAATACAAGAAAAATATCACAAAAACATTTTGTTATTTAATTATTATTGTTTTGTTGTTTGTTTCACGATGATAGAAAAAATCGAATTGTAAAATATAACGATTTTAATTTTTTTTAAAAAGAAAAGTAATTATAAATTAGGAAGTTCAATACGCGACACTTCTTTTAAAATTATTCGCTTTTACTATATTTGTTCACTTTGTTTACTTTCAGCGGGACGAAATAATCGTAAGTAAATATTTTATTCCAGATAAAATTATATAAATTATTATAAAACTTCAAATATTCTTTTTATTACGAGCGTCACATTGGAAACTTTTACTATTTTTGGGTACATTTTTTTTTTGTCAGAGAAAAATAACTACGAAATTCAAAGATATTATCATCAGGGTAATCGGATCTTTATTGAAATCGGTTAGTTTTGATTATTTGCATGTGATGATGTTTAAAATAATTTTAAATCTCATATATTTACAAAATAGTAAATTACCAAAATATTAAAGTAGAAATTTCACTTCTACTAGGAAAAATACTTGCAAAATATAAAAAGTAAAATGTTAACTATGTAAAAAGTTAGGCGCTTTCTGAAACAACTCATAATTTAACTAAACAATTGTATTGCTTAAATATTTTTTAACAAAATAAAAACGTTTTTCAACAATTGTGTCTCAAATAATATTTAATAAATATTTTAAGGCATATGTAAAAGATAAGAATAAATTTTAAATCGAAGCAATAAACACACAAAAATATTCTTGCCAATCATAAACTTGTACTATTTACTGAAATTTAAGTAGTTATAATAGCTTCTTTATTTATTTGGCAGTAAAAAAAGGTAAGTCAGATTTCAAAATTTTAAATTTACCTAAAGCGTAGGAATTTTTCTTCATTTACTGTAAACAGAAAAATTGAATGGTTTTTAAAAGCATATAGCTACAAAATATTTAATATTCTCGAATATCTCCCAGTTTCATGTTATGTTCTAAATGCTATTTAATTTTCCATTTCCGTTTTTTTTAAATTGTATAATTTCTTTTTAAACATATAAAAACAGCCGAAAATGCTGCTTATTTTCCAATTCCAAAGAATTTTTTTCCCCTATTGGATTTATTAAACTTGGAAAAATAGAAGAATCATAAGTGAAATTTTATATAACAATCAATGAATCTTTCCTGTGTATGTTTAGAGTCACGTTTTATTTAAAACGTGTGAACTAAGCCGTTAAATATCGTATATTAGCGTATGCGAATGCACCGAAGCGTATGCGAATCATTCGCAATAATTCTTATCAACTCCATTTACTTAAGTCCTGATTCGAAGTGGGGTGTGAGTAGTTGTAATACTCTATTCAAGAGCTGCATAATGAGCCATTGGCGACGATATGGAAAACATATCTGAAAATGTTACTAAGACATGCTTCATGCGCAGCCCAGCAATCTGCGCATGAAGGCGAGCCATTTACTGTTAGTTCTAACAGTTTAAACCGATACTGCTCACTCTATATCTTCTCGTAGGTTGATCCAAGTGGTCACCCACCCGCTCACTAACAGCAGCTATTGTTGCTTGACTTCAGTGATCTTTTAGGAATCGAGTCTTGCGATGAGTCTACTGTAGGACCAAAGCGGGTTTTAAAATCATAGAAATAGCCATACATACAATTTGATTATCGATTTTAGAGATTTTTTTTTAAATTTCCGATTTCTTAGTCTTAAGCACTAAGAAATTAGCAAATCATAAGTGAGAAGGCGTATAGTGATTAATAAACTCTTACTCTTTCTGTTCAAATTTAGAGTCGCATTAGGTTTTAAACATGCAAAAACAGCTGCAAATACTGTTTAATTGCATATTTCAGAGTGTTTTTATTTATCTATTATTACTTTTTTTTCCGAATTGTTAGACTTTAGCGAATAAAAGCATGAGAACCACAAAGATTTTTTTAAAATAATTAATACTTAGTTTTAAAATAGCGTGTTATAAATTATACAACATTTATCTTTTTTTGTGTGTCATTCATTTGAGGATGTTCTTTTGGAGATGCAATTTTGACCATGATGTACTTAGAATAATTCTTTATTTTTTAAACCATTACACAACTTTTGAAAAAGATAAATCTTTTTTTGTTTCATTTATCTTTAGCATTCCAGCTTATCATGTAGTCAAAGTCAAACTTCTCATGTAATTACGCATCAAAGTTTTCACAGTTAATTATGTATCGAACATTTATGTATGTTAAAATACAGTTACAATTCATTATTTAAGTGACAAACAGGAAAATATTGTTTAAATATGTGTTTCTTCATTAAGAACTTGTCAGATTATCTTGCATCACAAAAAAAATTTTAACTAAAAAGGAGAAACCAAATATATTTTGACATTTTATTTGAATAATAAAATCTTAAAATATATTTTTTCATTAAAGAACTTATGACAGATAGCCACTTTTATCAGACTACTTTTGCGTAGCACAAAGTTTTTAACTAAATATCAAAACCTAATAATTTGATATTTCAATTAAATTAAAAAAATTATTATCTTTTTTGAATTTTTTTTATTTAAGAATTTATCTCGAATGGCCACTTTTTTCATGACACTTTTGTGTAACACAAAAGTTTTTATCTAAATATAAAAACCAAATACATTTTGACATTTTATTTGAGTAAAAAAATAATTTTAAAATATATATTTTTTATTTGAGAACTTATCTCAAATGAACCGTTTTATGAGGTCATTTATCAATATAACACAAAATTTTTTTAACGGAATATCAAAACTTAATACATTTTAACAATTTATTTGAATAAAAAAAATTAAAATGTATCTTTTCATTTATTGTGCAGCACAAAAGTTTTAATTAAATATCAAAACCTAACATATTTTGATATCTTGTATAACAAAAACAAAATAATTTTATAATGCAATATTTTTTTATATCTAAGAGCTTATCTGATATGGGCACTATTATCAGGCTACGTTTGTGTGGCATAAAAGTCTTTAACGAAATATCAAATCCTAATAAATTTTGAACAGAAAAATAATTTAAAAAAATATTATTTTTATTTTAGAACTTTTGTTTCAAAGCCGCACTTTTACCAGACCATTTTAGAGTAGCACAAAAGTTTTTACTGAACATCAAAACCTAATGTATTTCGACATTTTATTTGGGAGTGACAAAAACAAAATAATTTTAAAATATATTTTTACATCTGAGAGTTTTTCATATGGACACTATTATCAGGCCACTCTTGAGTAGCCCAAAAGTCGTTAACGAAATATTAAATCCTACTACATTTTGACATTTTATTTGAATAACAAAATAATTTAGAAATATATTTTTTCATTTAACCTCTTCGAGACGGGCGAGTCATTTATTTGTGGGAGGGGTAATAATAGTTTTCCTAATAGTTAATAGTTCCAAGACTTTTAGAATAGTTGCACTTTTAACAGACATAGATTGGCTGTATTAGATTTAAAGTGAAAACAAAAATAAGGTTGTCAAATTAGCCTTGCCCAAACTTAAGCTACCACTTTTTATTTTTTTCCATCCTGTTTCTGAATCCATACGAATGTATTTATGACTCACCCGTCCCGAAAAGGTTAAGAAGTTATCCCAAATGGACATTGTTATCAAGCCGCTTTTGGTGTAGCATATAAGTTGTTAGCGAAATAAGAAAACCTAATACATTTTGACGGTTAAAATAGAAAAATTGTCATCAACCATATATTTCATAATTTGAAAAATTTCTTTAAGATACTTCTCTATTTATAAAAACAATATTTTTATTATAAAAAAAGGTCACTTCTGACACATTTATAACAAATGTATTATTATTTTTGTAAAATTTTATTAGCAAAAGATGTCACTTCTGATACATTAATAACAAAGATATTAGTATTTTTATAACATTTTATTATGAAAATTGTTAGAGTCATTACATCAGATAAAAAAAAATATTTTTTGTGTAATTTCAGGTGGTAAGTAAATTTTTTTTATAAAATTATTAAATTAAGAAACTGTTGCATAATTTGGCGAAATTAATTTTTTAAAAAATAATTTTACTTTTGCAGACATCATAGGAGCAGGTAACTATTCTTATTTGCCAAGTTTCTTATTTAAATTTTTTTAAGTACTTTAAGTAATCAAACAATCCTAGAAAAAATTTAATTATAATAATAATTCAAAGATCAAAAATCTTGAAAATTTAAGATTGTGTTTTATTATTTAAAAAATGTTATTATAATTATATTAAAAAATGGAGAAAAAAATTATGTATGTATCTAAATGCCTTAAAAGACAATAAAAGAAAACTGAATGAAATTTGAAATGTGCATATTTTAGATATTTTGTTTCACTTTTTGCACACTACTAATTTGCAGAAACAAAATAGCTTTGTTTACCATAATACTGTAACAATATAAATATCTATACTGAAGTGAAAGCAAAAATTTTTTTACTGCTCCTTACACTATTGTATTGATATATTTTGCTTCGGCTACATTGATGCAATATCAGAAAGCACTCCTTTTTTCGAATATATTCGTGTGAGCTGATGATATTATATATATGTGTATATACACCGAAGAGCCATTATATTATGACCACCGTCCATCTATAACAATGGGCTCGCCCAGGTTTTCATGGTTTCTCGCCCAGGAACAATGTTTTCATGGGGCACATTAGGACCCATAATCCTCGTAGAACAATCCCCGAGTAAGCTACTTGAACATAGTTGCAGACCAGGTTCACCCATTCATGGCGACAGTTTTTCCTGTGGGGGATGTTGTTTACCAACAGGATAATGCACCAAGTCATAAGAGTCGAATCGTCATGGATTGGTTCGAGGAACATTCCAGTGACTTTCAAGTCACGTCTTGGCCCTCAAATTCACCTGACTTTAATTCAATAGAGCATTTGTGGTCCTACTTGAAAAACCAAATTCGTGCTGCCACGTTACCCCCTCGCAATGTGAGGGAATTGCAAGGCCAGTTGGTGAGTGCTTGGTACAGATACCTCAGACTACCTATCAGCACCTTGTGGAATCAATGCCACGGCGGGTGCTAGCAGTTTTGAGGGCTAAAGGTGGTCCTACATGTTATTAGCAGGGTGGTCATAATGTAATGACTATTCGGTGCATATATATTTCTTTTTTCAATTTTTTCTTCTTTTTTCCTTTTTTTATTATTCTGTAATTTTTTTCCATGTTTTCCATTTCATTTTGAACTTATTTTATGAGTTCTATATGCTTGCAGCTTATGCACAGTAAATAAAACTTATAGATTTTCTTAATTTTTCTCGTCTTTCTTTTTATTCTTTTTGTCCGTTTCTCTTTTTGTCCATTTTATATATTAAAAAGAAATTAAAGTGACATTCACGGTAGCTTCGTCAGGGGTTACTGCTGTTCACTTATGAGGCAATAACTTATTTTATTTCATCTTATAATATTTTCTTCAAATATATTCAAGTCTTTTATGTTCTGGTATAGTCACGGAAAAACCTGTTCTCTCAGTTGTAGACTTTTTATGAAGTATTTTCTCCAATTTTAGTTTTAAAAAGTACTGTATATAATAAAGTTAAAATAATTGAGAAGCTTTTCCAATTGTCATTAATTATAAATCTTCTATTTTAATTTCAGTTGGTGATGCAGCAACTGGTATGTTGATTTTCTAATTATTTTTTAACGTCTTATACATTTAAATGAATACAAAAATTCAGAAGTTTCAAAAGTAATATCTGAGCATAATATTTTATTTTGTGATTCTAACTTTTTTTTGCCATCACTCTTTGCTGTATTCAATAAGATTGTTTCCTTGTTGCTTCGTATATTTATTTAAAAAGTATTTCTCATCGAGCTTTACAATTCAAAATAAAATAACTAATTCAGGAATAAAGAATTACGGTTCTCTGATCACGTTAATAATAGTGAATTGTAACCATCATTCAGTTTGTTTTATTCATTTTCAAGCATATGTATACACCAAGAAAAAAAATTTTAATATTAAAAATTTTATTCTTCACATTAAGTTCACAAATTTTCCAAATAATTGGGACTCTCATTGTTATGGTTGGTGTATTCACGACTGCAAATGAACTTAAATTTGGGACACTCTGGTCTAACCATGGCCTCCTACATCAGAAAGCACGCACACCGTTTTTTATAGGTAGTCTGCGCAGACTATTTAAAAATTGAACCAGTTGCAGAGATGCCAACTGCTCCGGAAACTGCAAAATAATTTAAAAAATGGTAAATAACTACGAAATAAAATTCGCAGATATTTGGCTAAATATGCTTAATTTTAAAAGGTTTAACAGGACAAAATATCTTCTTTCTTCCTTATTTAAATAAACTGGGCTCCTATCCCATTCATCATTAAATTACATACAGTAAGGTAAAATACATTGATTTGGCAAGCATTGTGGTAGCCATTAAAAAAAATCAAGCCGTTTGCTTGTGAAATAATAAAACAATGAAAAAATTCAACATGACAAATTGGCGTTTTTACATAACATTAGAAATATTGATTGTAGACTTATATTAAAAATAAAGATAAAACATGATTTGATATGCACAATATTGATTTTTGAAAAATGAAAGACATAATTGATGACAGGACAAAGTATAAAAAGTAGTGTATTATATAGGTTTTCGAATTATTTAGAAATACTGGTGGATTAAAACCTAATAAATAGAATTTATTAAACAATGAATCATACAATAAGAAACTACCACTTGAAAATATTTATCCGCTGTCCGGAGCAAGTTGGCATCACTGCAGTTGTGAGCATGAACTCAAATTCTATTTTCGTTCGTTCGCTCGTTGTAGTGGAACTTGGCGTCATGAGGCCATTATGGCCCTTTTTCAAATTCTATTTTCGTTCGTTCGTTGTTGTAGAACTGGGCATCTGAGGCCTAAATGGACCTTAGCAAATTCTATTTTCATCATCATCATCATCAAATTTTATCTGGGATCCTGAGGCCATGAATTCTATTTTACCGAGGGAAATTTATCATATATATTTGAGAATTGAATCTCTAGAGGTAGATAAGTAAATAAGACAAACCAATCATATTCATAAATCAAACAAATTACTAGAGATACATTTCCTACCACTTTCTAATTTTTAATAGATTTTTTATTAAATGCCTCTCCTGTGAACAATTAAACTCACCTACATCTACAGCCCATCGACTAGTCTAGTCTCACTAGTGAAAGAACTGCAGGAACTGCTAAAAAATCAGGAAGTGCTCAGCTTACTACAATCCGTACTCAAGGGGATATCCCCTTCAGAATGATGTTTTACATTTCACCTCATGCCGAATACCATCAAGGACTGGAATTTTCTTCAACATTACAGAACTTATTAGTTTTATGACGCCCTAGTTATATGACCAACAGTATCGATGAATCGGTTGGTGGCCCTTCGGGCCAAAAACCGAGCTCCCACCTATGTCCAGCATCCAGCATCAATTTAACTTTCACGTTGGTCTGATTGACTACCAATAGGAAACCGTGTGGAGGCTTTTGGTTATAGGAGACGTTGGTCATTTTTGCATTCAAAAAAAAGATTCTTTTATGAAAATTTTTTTAAGCTTTTTTGGACGGGTGAGTCATAAATGTATTCGTCCAGAATCAGGATAGTAAAAAATAAAAAGCGGTAGCTTAAATTTGGGCATGGCGAATTTGTCAGTCTTATTTTTGCTTCCACTTTAAATCAAGCACATCCAATCCATGTGTGTTAAAATTGTAACTAAAATTTTTTTAATTCGTACCAAATAATGAGGAATTAAATAAAGCAAACTATTATTACCCCACCTCAAATAAACTGGTTTTAAAATAATTTGGTTGCCAGGTTTATCTTTTTTTACCCCGATTATCGACACCCTGAGAGTCCATATATGACCAACACCTCCTAGAAAAGAGCAGGCCTCAGCACGGGTTACCATAAATATCCTTTCAACGTAATGACATATTTCGTATTTTCAACCACTGCGCAGCTTAGTACCCCGAACGTAATGACGTCTTTCTTATTTTTCATCTACTGCGCAGTTAACTTCGTCACATCGGACTACTAAATTGATCCGTGCTGAGGCCTTCCTACTTCTAGGAGGTGTTGATATGACTCGCTCGTCTCGATGAGGTTAATACCTAATCGAATTAGATATTTGTGTAAGCTACATACAGTGAGCTGTGAATACTGAGACTCTCGAAACTTTATCCAACTTATAATAAAAGTAATGTAAAACTAATTTCAGGGAGTGGTTGTTTCAACTGATTCTTTTTATTTAATTTTTGATTTACCTTTAATTTTCTAGAAGTAAATTCGTAAATAAAATATTTTTTTTCTGCAAAAAATGAGTTTTTGAAACTTTTTAAAAATGTAACTATTTTTTCAAGAAAAAAAATGGTAATTAACATCTAAGACTAAGAGGAGATAATGTTGAAAAATATATGCTTTTTGAAAAAAATGTAATTTAAGTTTTAAGAATGTGCTGCATGTTTTGGAACTCTTTATTGTTTATTATTATGATTATTACAAAAGCTTAAATTGAACATATTTAAGAGAGCTTTTAAATTTTAAAAGCTTTTAAAAAATCTAAACATAAAATCCTGCTTTTAATCTTTCCGGGACGGACAAGTCATAAATGTATTTGTATAGAATCAGAATGGAAAAAAAATAAAGAGTGGTCGTTAAAATGTGGGTATGGTCAATTTTTTTCATTCTTGCTTTCACTTTAATTATAATATATTTAATAATGATTGGTCAAAGTTTAACTACATGATTTTTATTTCGAACTAAATAGTTGAGGAAGTACATAAATCAAGCTATATTATTACCCCGCCAAATAATAAACTATTAAAAAAATAGTTTGGCTGCACCATTTCTATCTTTTTTAATTTGATTAATGCCATTCTGAGAATGCATATATGACTCTCTTGTCTCGAAGAGGTTAGTATAAGTAACAAGCATTTATTCAAAAATAACAAGCAATTAATCAAAATTTTTCATAATTTTTTATCTATCTTTATTTTACAGAAATAGGAAAAGGAAGTAAGTGACTGCATAAATCAGTTATTTTTGAAAACATTCTATGACATGCAAAAATGTTAAACTCAAATATTATATTTTTCAAAAAGCTTTGTTTAAATGTTTTAACTTTCACTATCTTTCGATCTTTTTTTTTAAAGCTTTTCTTATCAGTTATTTAAATGACAGTTTACGAGCCTCTGAACTAATCATTTCGGATTTATAATATCAAACATTTATATGAAGTATTAAATGAATAATTCCCAGAGCTGTAAGATGTTACTCGATTAAAAACTTCATTCGCTTCGAAAATATACAAATTGGAAACAACAGTCGACATGTTCTAAGCACTCAATAAAAAGCACCTATTTTCAAAACTGAACAGACGTGACAGAGAAGAGACAAAAGTGATTTGAAATATAAAAGGTTAATTTGTCAATGAAAAAGGAAAAACTAAAGAAGAAAAAATAAAAACTGGAAAAACTCCAATAGTGAAAAGCGAAAAAAAAACACGAAAAACAGAAGGAAAATCAGAGTGGCAATGAGGGAAAAATGAATTTCCATGCGTTATAGAGAGGTGGTGAGAAACTTATGTCGTCAGCAAGAGAATCAGCATTCATATGAATGAAACAAGATTCCAGGGCATCAAGATGAGCTGATGTGACTGGGGTGGAAATAATTTCGGTTTTGTCGAAATTGAATTTATGCTCATGATTCTAAGAGTGTGATTTTTCGTATGATTAATTAATGATTTTCGTTTTCTTGATAACGGATATATCCTTGTTGATTCCCATGTTAACGACATAAGTCCCTCTCCACCTTTTCATAGCGCGTGGAAATTCATTATACCCTGAGTTTCCCCTCTCGACCACTATGGTTTTTCTAGTTCGTTTTTTTCCCCCAGCTCTCAGTCGGCTATTGCGGTTTTTCTAATTTTTATTTCTCACCTTTAATTTTTCTATTTTTCATAGGTAACTTTACGTTTTATATTTCAAATCGCCGGCCTGGTGGCCAAGCGGTTAGCGTGCCTGACTGCGAAGCCATAGGCTGCGGGTTCGAATCCCGCTCAGGGCATGGATGTTTCTCTCTCTCTTTGTACTGTCCTCTGTTGTGTGTGTGTGTATGATGTGTGAATGTGGCCCACCCTATAAACGGGTTTGTGGCAGTGTGGCGTGAGCAGTGTTGCTCGCCTCCGTGACTTTGGTTCACAGGTGCCCACTGGGTAACGCGAAATGAGCAACAATTCTGGCATAGTATAGGCAAAGATTCAGTGCCTGCCATTGGAAGAAAAAAAATATTTCAAATCACTTTTGTTTCTTCGCCTTCATGTCTGAAAAAGGGCGCCTTGTTTTGAAGTGCTAGAAACATACTGAGTGTTATTTCCTATTTATTATGTCAATGAGTATCTTAACATTTAAGGATATTCAAATACATTTTCGCTGTTTACCTAATCGAAAAATATCAAAATCTTCATCATTAACATTTATCTAGGTGGTGAAACCGTTTCCGGCTTTTTTCTAGATCATCTAGAAGATAGTGACATTGAGATGGCATTTTCAACACATTTGAATGCGAATTGATGTAAAAAAAAAACTTAATATTTTGCATTCTAAACAAAGATACATCTACAAAAATTAGCTGATGTAAAAATGTAAATATATAGATACATCGCAATTTAGGGCTTTTACAAAATTTGGAATTGAGATTTGCCAAAAGATTATTTAAAATCATTGTTCAATGTTAAACTTAAACTGTATAAAATATCTGGGCACATGAGGCCGGATTGTTCAACGTAGCTAAGTTGATATTACTTAAACTCAATTTTCTTTTTAATTTCAGTTGATAAAGTCACTGATGGTAATATTATATATATATATATATATTTCCTTTTAATACATATTTACATATTTTTACATTTATACATATATATTATATTTATACATTTATACATATTTTTCTTTTTAATTTTGTTTTCGTTGTTTTTATTACTGTGAGTTTCATTTATGAAAAGTGCACCAAACATTGCGATAAGTGGCACCTAGTTCAAAGTAGTGATAAAAAGCAGAAACTCACTACTTGAAATGAAACTATATGAAAAGTGCGGCAGATCGAAGTTGAGTTTCTGGAGTTGCTGCAATCTCATCAAAAATATACTGATCATTATTCTTATTTAAAAGTTACAAAACATATTAATATTAGAAATATTATTTAATTTTTAAGTTATGAATTGTTTATTAGAAGTTATTATAAACTTTACTCAAAATATCCTAAATTTTTGACCAACTTGCTAAATGCTAGTCATAAAATATACGAATGAAAGCTTAATAATCGATGTTGTAAATATTTATTCAATTTTTTTTTAATTTAAAAAAAAGTAATTTTGTCATTAAGGGTCTATTTTTCGTCTTAAGTTTCAACACTAAGAGGAAAATTTGAAATTCCAAGTGCCTTTTCAAAAAGCATTTTATGACATCGAAAAAATATGTTTTTCTACCTACTATTATCGCCAAATATAGGAATAAGTAGCCAAAAGTGCTTACCATTTCTTTTACGTCACGTGCTGAGGGGCTAAATCAGAAAGATATTGGTTTCAAAGTGAGTGTGATTTTAACATTGTGAGAGCAGTCTACTAATATTATTAGTATGAAGCCATGTAGAACATAAAGTATGCATCGAAGTTTCCAGGTACACAGAACAAAAATATATCATGGTTACAATAAAATGCATAAACAAATAATAAATCTAAGTTAAGTAGAAGATATAGACGAAAAAGAATTCTATTTTAACAAATTTGACATGCGATACGGCATTGTATTTAATTAACTTCACGTTAATTAACATTCTAACTTATGTGGAGAAACCTAGCTCAACTTTAACACGCCATTTTGCTTATAAGCGATCAGCTGGCGCTGACGTCATAGGTCACATGTGTCGGTATCACTGTTCTTCTTCATGTTGAAGTGCAATTACCAAATTTGGAAGATAATGCTTGAAGCTTTTAGAAATGGTGTTCTTAAACCAATGCAAAATTTCATTGTTCAAAATTAAGTGTAATAAGCTGAAAGATTCTTTTTCAATACCACTATAATTAAAAAAAGCATTCTTATATAAATATTGCAATCTCATGGAAAAATTTGAAAATTGCTGGTACTAAAGCTAAAAGAAAATTATTAAGTTCCTCTTCTCATTTTTATCAATCTGAGTATTTGTAAGGGTAGAAATAGCATCATTTCTACAAGCTTCATAACTATATTCAACCGATATATCTGGATAGGTAAAATAACAGTTATGATGCCAAAAATTCTGAAAGTATAAATATTGTATATAAAATTTTTATTTATTTCATTTAGCTACTGGGAACGCAAGTAAGTTTGAATTAAAATTCCTTAATAATATGATTAGTGTTTTAAATTGTTTTCTTTAAATTCTAATTAGTTATAAATAATCATGATTTGTTTTTGAATTGAAATAAACTATTACGGCAAAATATATTAATTTTGTGTATGCAAATCAGACTAACATAATTGTCGATTCTTCTATATTTAAGGAAAATTTCCTTTTATGTTTGAAGTGATAATAAAATTTATGCTTTTTAACTTCATTCTTAGATTTCAAATTTGCTTTAGCATGATTTCGATCATCATTGTATATAAGTAAATTAAACCTATATATAAATGGATGATAATCCTATGATGGTGTAATTAAGCACTAGCAAAATCTAAAAATATTTCTGCCTAAAATTCGTAGATCAACTTTCATTTAAGAAAATCATTTTTGGTAGAAGCGAAATATGGCTGCTATGGACTAGAGTTCCTGATATCTAACTTTTTGTTAGATATATAATATAATATAATAAAATATAATATAACAATGACTGGCATAGCCTTTTTTTAAATGTTCTCGGTACCCATTACTTTTTTTTATTGCTTGAAGCGCTTACTATGTAATTTTAAATTTTTATCAGGAATAACATTGCTCAAAATATAATTATTATTATCATTTTTTTGAAAATTTTTGAAATATAAAGGATAATAGACGATGCATATCCTTAAACACGGAAGTCTGGCATTCTTAAATTCCCGTTTTCTCTTCCCTTTTTTTTCGCTTTTTCTAACATGCATAATAATGATGCCTTTTTAAAATTACCTTTTCTTGAAGGTCATCATCAGATACTTAAAACAATGCGGAAAATGATCTTTTTTTTTCAAAAAGATAACTGAAGCATTGCTCTTTTGTTGTTTTGTTGACAACTTTGCTTAATATTAAGGAAGTATGATGGAAAACCACCGAATTACATGACTCAGTTTAAAGCGAAATGCGATAATATTCTGATGTTTTCCCTATTTTTTTTTCTCCTTAGGATATAATTGACCAGTCTCGAGTTCCTCTTGCGTTTCTTGTTATTTTTTATTATTTAAAAAAAACGACCAGCAACTTGACCATGAAATAGGAAATTAGTTTGCAGAAAAGAATTTTCCTTATATATATGCTAATTGATTGTGTTAAACAGTTTGAAAAATTTTTAAAATGTTAAGTTTAATGTGTACTGAGTGCTTTTAAACAGTTCTGTTTTAATCTATGTACAAATTTATATTTCGGACTTTGCAAAGAATTTAAAAGTTCAATTAAATATCAATAACAGTAAATACAAATTTATTAAATCAATAATAGTAACAACTAATGCATATATAATCTATAATTGTAAATATTGAAATAGTTTACACTGGGGGACAATTTTTTTCCCCTCTTGTATGAAATTTCTTACTCAGATTTTAATTAATTTCAAAACTGCAGTCGGTTTTCCTCTTCAAGCTGCAGTTTTTTTAATGAAATTTTTTTAGTCTATTTTTTATAAATTTAAAAACGTTTTATAATACAAGGGGTCGCATGAATGTTGATACAAACTGCTAGGGGACTTAAGGCAGATAATCAGGATTAAAATCGCATGGGAACTCATGTTCAGAAATATAATTTTATCTTAATTAATAATAATTTAATCTTAACTAATTAAGAAATAACGATTTTCTTAGTTTTAAATTCTTGAATTGAAAGCGTAACTTCGATTTAGTAATACAAAAATATTTATAGAAAAACAATACCTATATGACTTTTATTAATTTTATGCTGATAACAACCAAAATAATATGAAGATGAATAAGGAAAAACTGGATCCTACCTCGTGATTTACCAGCCAATAAAAATACACGATCAACAATGGAAACTGCGACACTATCATCAGATTTATATAGTAAGAAACTGAAATGGTTATATCACTATGCAAATAAAGGCTACATCAAAGTATGTTAGATGACAGAATCATTGTGTCCGGCTTACTTCAGCTAGCTCAAAAAACTTTTCAAAAAATTGNTAGCGCCACTGTGAACATGCAAATCAGGGTTGCCTTAAAAATGTGTTCTACAGTTCATAAACGTTATTTTTCGTTAAATTTTGACATAGGGAGTTGCTGTTTGTCAAGAATGCCTTTTAGAAGACGTATATTATCAACAACTCACTTACTTTGAACGTGGTCGTGGAATAGGGCTGTGAGAAGGTGGATTCTTCTTTCCGCGATATTGCAGAAAGACTGCACAGAAAGGTATCCAATGCGCATGATTGTTGGCAGCAGAGGTCAAGCGAAGGCACTGCTTCAAGATGATTGGGTTCTAGGGAGCCACGTGGCACTACTCTGAGGAAAGACCGACGTGTATGGCTGTGGCGCACCGCACTGCATCTGCATCAGAAATTCGAGCTGTAGTTGGCACTTCAGTGACACAACTGTTACAAATCGGATACTTCAAGTACAGCTCGTGATACAGCTAGTGATAGCCGCATATTAGTTAGAAGGAGGCCAGGTGAGAGCCTGCTATCGACCTGTCTTCGGCCTAGACACACTGGACCTACACCTGGATTTATGGTCTGGGGTGCAATTTCCTATGACAGCAGCAGCGCTCCTGTGGTTATTACACGCACCTTGACTGCCTATTTGTACATCACTCTGTTTTGTTACCATTCGTGAGCAGCATTCAGTGGTGAATTTTCCAACAGAATAACGCTCACCCTCATGCTGTTGTTGTAACCCTACATGCTCACCAGAATGTCGGTATGTTGCCTAGGCCTGCTAGTTCACCAGATCTTTCACCAATAGAGCACGTACGGAACATCATTGGACAACAACTTCAGCGTCATCCACAACCAGCATTAACTATCCCCGCATTGACTGACCAAATGCAACAGGCATGGAACTCCATCCCACAAAATGACATACGGCATCTGTCTGACACAATGCATGCCTGTTTGCATTCAAAATTCTGATGGTTATACAGATTATTAAAGTGCCAGTACTTCACATTTGAAAAGATTTTTCTCTTAATTGCTTAAACCTTTGATTTTGAAACTTTAATCAATTAAATATGTTACTCAGACAAACGCATTGCCGAAATTTTATTGCTTTGCAGTAATTTTTTCTTAATCTTAGGATGTTTTTTTTCTCCATCAGTGTATTTTTTTCCATCAGTGTATTTTAACAAAAATACTTTTTTTCACTATCTGGTGGAAACATCCTACTCTTTTCATTTATATTTGTAGTAATAACAAATTCCTCTCAAAATCTAAGCGAATTAGGCTACATTTTACTAAAAAAGCCTCTGTAAAGTGCGACTAAACATAGGAAGTGATAAAAAACCAACTATTTTCTCAGTAATTATGAAGTTCAATATATGTACCTATATAATATCAAAAACAACTAAATTCTTTAGCATTTACACGACTTTCTTTTCTACTTTATTGTTTACTGAAAAAATACACCTGAACTGTATTTATTTTTCAGATGTTGCAAATGATGGTATGGCATATTTTTCTGATATATTCTTATGAAATTAATACTTGCAAAATGTATAATAAAAATTACTGCCCATTTTAGATAATTTAATTACAAATATTTGATATTAGTACTAATTTTATTTCTTTTAATAAATTTAGCTAAGGGTCAACATAACAGACAAGGATAAAATTTCTAGAATAGTAAGTATATTACCATTTATTTCAGTTATTTGCAAAACTTTAAAACCAGATCAACAAAACTGTGCGAAAAAGTATCTATTATTTAAATAACCACTGTTTCGTTAAATGCGAATTAAAAGTAAGTACAAAAAATTTAAAAGTAGAAAATAACTTTCGTTAATCGCTTCAGTTTACATATTTTAATTACGTATTGCAAAATTTTTTTTCTCCTTCATATAAGAGTTTTAAAATTTATATTTATTTTACTACAACTTTTTCTACATTTTAAAAAAACTGAATAGAGCCGTGGTTGCCCAGTGGCTAGAGTATCGGACTCCGGTTCGTAAGTACCGGGGTTCGATCTTCAACTCCGCTGTGACCCAACGAGTACATGGTGCTCGTAAAATTTGTGAAATCTAGAGTCCCATGGTCGATCACCGAGCAATACCATGGGTACAGGAATCTGGAAAACTTTCCTTCGCCTTCAGATCTGTGTAAAAAAAAGGATAACTCAAAATAACTTTTGATCTAATGATCAGATCTTCATATTCTTAGATTCAATCTTAATGATTCAAAGGAGTGACATCATATATGCTAATTAATTAGTGCAGACGTTGTTTTAATTGTTGTTACGAAACCAGACCCAAAACGTACTTTCTCTGAATAAACATACCTTTTTTAGAAGGATTAGGATTTTAGGATTAGGAAGAAGGATTACGGGGTAGCCGCAATCTGGGAAACATGGTTCCAATAGTTCGGTCAGGAGAGCGGTCGAAAGTTTGAGCTCTTTAATGTTAATTGTATTTTTTGCGTATTTCCCCATATCTCCAGAACTTTTTAAGCGAATTGAAAAATTTTTGACTTTATTTATAAAATTCGTTTATCCAAAGATAACTGTATGCAAAATATAACTTTTTTGTAAATATTTATTCATATTTATTAATTGTTTTAATAATATTTAAAAAAAAATTTGAATTTTGGTATACAATTTTTCGCATCATTTTAAAGAAGGTAATTTTAAATGACAAAACACAAAACTTGAACAAAATTGGTCGAATAGGTTAAATTTTAAAAATACGACTTTTTCAAAATTCGATTTCTCAAGAACTATTCGACCGATCTCGTTCAAAATTTGTATTTTGCCACTAAAAATTTTATTTTTTAAAATGATGTAAAAATTGTATACTTTGCTATTTAAAATTTTTTCAACTCTTACTAAAAAATTAACAAAAAGATAATAAATATTAACTAAAAGTTATAATTCGACTGGATTACCTTTGGATAAACGAATTTTATAATTGCGTGCACAAATGCTTCAATTCTCTTAAAAAGTTCTAGATATATGGTTAAGTACACAAAAAGTAAAATTAACATTAAGGGGTCCAAACTTTGGATCGCTCTTCTGGCCAAACCATGGGGACCATATTTCCCAGATTGTGGCTACCGCCTATATTTTGGGGGTTACAAATCTGAATCCACCTCTAAAAATGTATGTTCATTCAGAGAAAGAATGTTTTTTTTTCTGATCTCGTAGCTTAAAATATCGTCTGCAGTAATTAATTAGCATATTTGAGATCACCCCCTTCGAACCATTAAGATTGAATTCTAAAACGTGAAAATGTGATCATTACATCAAAAGTTATTTAGGGTGGCCGGTTTTTTTTTTTTTTTTTTTTTTTTNTTTTTTTTTTTTTTTTTTGCTTACTGTCCATGATTTTTGATACTGTCACATGCGCTTCCAAAAATTTTTCCCACGTCAAAGCCGAAAAAAACGAAAGGAAAAACTATTTGTATAAAGAGTTCTAATGCATTTATGACATTATATCAAGCAAAACATTGCATTTCATTCATTAAATGCGGAATGTCGTTGAATGCGGGGTCGTTATAAGTGGAGTGTACTTTTTATATACATAATTTTTCATTATTTTTTATACTGTTTTCCGCTTTCCAAATTATTTCTCTCGTTAAATTGAAGAGGACGGTCGATAAATCCGGAATCTCGTTGAATGTGGGCTCGTTAGAAGTGGATTCTACTGTATACATAAATTTATTATAAATTTTACCTAAATAATTTATTTAATAGATTATTGAGTGTTTAATTTTTTTTCCAGCTTCTCATGGAAAAGTGAATGACTAAAATCTCTCGAAAAATGCCTTATTCCAATTGTTTTCTTCAGATGGCAGAAGAATCAGCCAATCAGGAATCATATATTTCAAAATTATAAATAATAAATATACTGATACTGATGTTAATTCACTTATACACTTTTAAATCTGTGCTACAAAATTAATGCATGATAATAAATACTGAGACATATTTTATGAAATAATGCTGGTTTATTTGATATTTTGCAAGAATAGATATCATGTCTTACAATTCATGCTATGTTAAACGTGAGTTATTTTTGCTATACAAATCTTTTTCTTTTTATTAACATATTCAAATATCCTTTCCTCTTGGCGAGAACTGAACTAGTTAAAAGCAAAGTATTCTGGAAAATTCACGTGAAAGGGTTAAGGGTTGCTTCTTTAACCCGTTCACACCCAGCATCCTATTAAAACGATGGTTCTTTTCTCAAAGGGAAGAAAAAGTGGTAGCGCAATTACTTTGTTCTTAGGATTTATTTTGCTTTCAACAGCAAGAATAAAATAGAGTAGGATAATTCTGTTTACCATAATATATTTAAAATATAATTATTAATATTTGAATCTGAAAAGGAAAACATTTGCATTTTTAACATTTCGCATTACATTTTTAAAGCTTAAGTGGTAACTGAAACTTATATTCACTTGGCATTAACAAATATGTGCTATAAATATGTAAGTCATTGTTTTCCTAATTTCATAAATATTTAGAATATATTTGACATCAAAATCTTTCAAATTATGGATATATGAGGATTTATACAAAAACTATTTAACATTAAAAATTAAATTTAGTGAAATAAAATTAAATAAAAATAGCTTTTGTAGTGTGCATAATTGTTACATAATTTCAACGTTAGATGGCAGCACTAAGATCAGTAATTTATAGCTTTGTTTCATTCTTTGCAAGATAGATATAAAGATATATCCCCTATATTAGTCCCTGTTCTTGGCATTAGATTAAAATTTCTAGTTCTACGTTACGCGAAAAATTGAAAAGAGATAAAATCAAATCAGATAACGCAGTTTTAAACAATCGAATTTTTGACATTTATTTATTAAGCATTAGAGAGCTCCCTGCTCGCTTTCGCAATTCGAATATCCCGATTGTTTCCTAATCATCAGAGATTGTAACCTCACAATTAAAAATTGTTAAAAAAAATCCGATTTGATTCATAATATTTAATAAGATTTAGTTCCACACGTCTTTTATTCAGGTACAATTAATACTTATTAATACTTATTCAGGTACCATTAATACTGCTAATAACGCCATGCACAAACTTATTTTCTTAAATTCGTGATTAATTTTTTATTGCTATAAAATTCGCAAAAAATTGATTTTGCTAATGACAGTATCTAACAAGAGTACAGAAATTTAATTTCTAATATATTGTTTTGGAATTTTGCTAATCTCATTTTTATATAAGTTTTAATATAAAATTTTTTATATAAATTAAAAAAAGTAAATTTACTGGTTAATAGTTGTAAAACGCTAAGTAAATATCTTTATTGTAAAAGGCTGCATAATAAAATTGTATCACGTGATTAGAAAATAGATAAATAAACAGAATGCGATGTGTCTATATGTACCTTATACAAATCCGCATCTTTCAACCCATCCCCATCAAATATGATGGAAGACACGGCAAATCTAACTGAGTATTTTAAAATATCCTCAGTGGTAGACGGATCGTGGTTTAGACTCCCCTTGCCGTCAGGCTAACAGTGGGAGGTTTTCTTGGTTTTCCTCTCCATGTTACACAAATGCAGGTTAGTTCCATCAAAAAGTCCTCCCCGAAGGCAAATTTCTCCCAATACTTGATCCAGGAGTTCCCTTGTCTTCTAGATTGGGTTCAAACTTACAAGGCTATGAAGTTCAACATTAGTAGTCGTAAACCCAAAAAATTGGGTCGACTGTTCAACGACTGTCATAAAATTAAATAAAATATTTTATTGCAAGCCGTGGTGGCTCAGAAGTTATAGCGTTCGCCTCCCAATGAGGTGACCCGAGTTCGATCCCAGCGACAGCTGGTCGAAGCTTTCAGTGGTTGACGGATCATGGGTTAAAGTCCCCTTGCCACCAAGCTAATTACGTAAGTTTTTTGTGGATTTCCTCTCAATGTAACGCAAATGAGGGTTATTTCCATCAAAAAGTCCTCAACGAAGGAAAATTTCTCCCAATACTTGATCAAGGAGTTCCCTTGTCTTCTGGATTGGGTTCAAAATTACAAGGCTTCGGAGTGGAACATTAGTACCCGGAAGCTCTAAATTGGGTCGGCTGTTCAATGGCGGTTACAAAATGAAATGAAATATTTTATAGTATGAGTGATTTGCTAGCTTACAGCTCTAATTCACCAAGAATTAGTTTTATCGCACATTTTTATGAATTTATTTATCTTCAGTTTCCTTTGTTTGGGTATCACAAGTAAAATAAACGTTAATAATTCCGCAACATATCATGATGACATCACCAAAATTGTTTTAACCAGTTAAGTGTGTTTGACGTGCATGCACGTCGAACCAAATCTCCATTGCAATGCGTTTGACGTGTATACACATCAGATCAAATATTTATTATAGTGTGTCACGTATACACGTCGGACCAAATATCTATTGTAGCATGTTTGACGTGCATACGCGTCTGACCAAAGCTCTGTTGCAGTGCGTATGACGTGTAGTCCCGCAGTGGACTGATCGTTAAGGCACGGTTCCCAACAGATCATCGAAGTCAAGCATCATTCCTTGCGGTGAGTGTGCAGGTGGGTGACCACTTGGATCAGTCTGCGTAGGGACCGAGGGTGCGCAGTATTTGTCCTCGTTAAACTGTTCTACCGTAAAGTGCTCGACTTCACGTTTTGGTCGTCGGACTACCGAAGCGGGGGTGCCATCCCCTCCGCAGAGGATCAAAATTGTGATGGCATGTCTTCGGATCATCCTCAGGGATGCTTCCCAGACCGTCGCCAATAGCCCATTGTGCAGCTCTAGTGTGACGTAAATGAACAACAACAACAACAGCGTATGACGTGTATACACGTCGGACGTTGTTATAACTGTTAAAAATCTTAGTAGTCCCATATTAACCGTCATAACACTTTATCAGCTTACTTTTTTTTTCTTCAGAAGAGCAAAAACTAGTAATTTATTATTTTATTTTTTTAAAGTTTATGTAGGTAGAGCAAAGATCTTTGTATCCCCTAAATATATTAACAACAGTTTTTAAAAAATTAAAAGTGTAGTCACAATAGAAATTATAAATTTAATTTCTGGTCTAACTTCCTATTAATCTTTTCCAAATTTGCTTTTCACAGAATTAGAGAGTGCTGTGCAAAAGCAAGGTCAGTTGGGAATCATTTAAGTTTATTGCGTTGTTCGTCATTTTAGTTGTTCTTTCAATTTCAACACATTTATGGCCAGCCACAATATGTGATGTTTACATGAATAACAGTTATATATATATAAAAAAAGCGGCATTACATAGCTGTTTACATTAATTGGATATTTTTTTCTGTTACTTATCTGTGAAAAGGTACAGTACTTTGATTTTAAATCCAAATATAATTTTTTTATTACTTATACTATAATAATAGAACTATGCTCTTTCAGTAGAATGAATTCCTATAATGAAACACTTCTGCCAGCCCTTTTTTTTTCAAAAGGCGCAGTGCATAATTAGGTTAACATTTCATTTTTAATTCAATAATTGAATTGTACATGATTTTAACCAACAGGACGCTTAGCAAACGATAGACGCTATATTCACCGCATTACAAATATTCCGAAAATGCCGTCATTTATCAGCGGTACAAGTTAAAAAATCCAATCCAATTTGTTGTATCCAATCCATTTTGTATCCAATTTGTTTCAAGAAGCTGAATATTGCTAGTACACTTAAACCTCTCGGGAACGACCCTCTCTGTTCTACAGTAAAATGGTCGTTAATTGAGGTTGGTCGTTCTTAGGGGTTACTTCCATTGACTTCAAAATGTAATCGAAGGTACTTGATATTTGATACTTGATAAATGAAGGTACTTGATAAATTTAGAGTCAATAAAAATGTCCCTTACTGATATAATTGTGTGTAAAAACAAATTTACTAATTATGAGTGATGGAACTATTTTAAATAAATAAACAATTATGTTTTTTCATTTAAGTTTGCATTTCATTTCATATCATAAAAATTAATTACCTTCAAAATATGAAAAGAGGTTTGTTTGTTTGAGATGCTCAATTTGTTCTAAAATAACTTTTTTTCCCAATTTAATTTTCAACTCTAAAAATAAATCATTGATAGCATCGTCTTTAGTGCTCTGCGCTTACAACATGAGGTTGTCGATCTCTTACGGAGATGATCAAAAATGGCTCTCTAAATAAGAGCCACTAACAATTATTTTGATTACATCTGCATCTATTTATTTGTTTTGTTAATATTTTTTGTTTTGATATTTTTTCGTGTTTTGACCTTTTCTGCATTTGGTGTTGAGGTTGCCTGGTCGCTGGGGTAAATTTTGATGGGCTCTCCCAAAGGTCTTCTTCAACTCAAAGTTTGCGGAAAATATTTCGTGCCTACCGACAGTGGTCTTACCTGGTGTTATCACTGCCTCAACTTTAAAAATAAAATTTCAAATGCTTCGTCTTGAGCCGCGGTGGTTCAGGAAATAGAGAGTTCGCCTTCCAATAGAGATCCAGCTTCGATCCCAGCGTTGGCTGGTCGATTCAAATTCTGCTCCTGACTTAAACTGACCTTAGTGCTGACATGAAATATCCTCAATGGTAAACGAATAATGGGTTAGAATCCCCTTGCCGTCGGAGGACTAACCATAGGAGGTTGTCGTGCTTTTCCTCTCTATGTATAGAAAATTTGGGTAATCTCGATCAGAAAAAGGAAAGTTCTCCACAAAAATCAACTTGTCCCAATGTCCCTATTGGAAAAAAATCTTAAAACCAGTATCAAAAACCAGTAAAAATGATACCAGAACCAGTATAACCATACTGGAAATTTTGAAACCAGTATGGCACCATACTGGAAATTTTAAAACCAGTATAGCACCATACTGGAAATTTTAAAACCAGTATAACACCATACGGGAAATTTTAAAACCAGTATAACACCATACGGGAAATTTTAAAACCAGTATAACACCATACGGGAAATTTTAAAACCAATATAACACCATACGGGAA